CCCCCCCCCCCCCCCCGCCTCAAGCTCTTCCTTCTCTTGCTACTTGGCTTCTCTACTCTCAAATTAAACGAGATCAAGAAAAATGCAGCTATCATCAACGCTGGTCTTTATTTTGCATTTGGGTCAAGTGTGCTCACTCCTACCCGGATTGGGAGAATCAAGGGCAGAAACAACTTGGGTGACATTAAATCTCTGTGTGTGCACTTTAATACTATTTATTTTGGTTCAAACAGCTATAACTAATCTACATCCTTTTCGCTTGAGACTCACTCTTCTATCTGACCAGGGTAACTTCTTACAAGAACTTAGCAGTTTTCAGAGTGAAGAGTTTAAACAGAATTGCAGACTTTGAATCACAGACCTCTGGCTTCACAGTTACGCTGACGCTGAGCAAAGGATACTTAATGCAAATAGGTGAAAAACACAGACTGATACAGCCTGAAGGATTAGAGGATTTGGCTCTAATAACTAGCGACGTTTTCAATATTTATATTTACAAACATGCATTTATTCCAATGAGAAACAACGCATTCGTAGTGAAATTTTAACAAACCAGCACCCACGCTTACAAAAAAATTCTCAGATTTCAACAAAAAGGGAAAGAGAGGAGCAGCAGCAGAAAGCAACAGTCTCAGGCCCCAGACTGGGGGCAGCAACATGTCCTGCATGCCGTCACTCTTAACACATCAAAGGCCAAATGGCAGCAAAGAAAAACAAGAATAAACTTTAAATCCATTTACAACAAACTAGTTCTACCTAAGCCAAACGAGCTCGTCTATTTCAAAACCTTCAACTCAAAGCCAGGTCCCTCCCTTGCCTTACATTTCCCAGTTACTTGCTAAGCATGTTTGTTAGGCGGCTGGACAGAAACTTAAGTTAAAAGTCCTTAGCCCGGGAGGGAACACCGCGTCGTTAGCGGGAAGCAAGAGATGCGGGAGCCCAGCGCGTTCAGCGCTCCGCGCTGCGGTGCGCGGAGACCCCACCCCACCCCCCGGCTCCCCGGCCGTCCACGTCTACGAGGACACGGCTTTGGGGAAGTTTCTAGAGCCCCTCGCAAGCCTGCCCATGCCCCCAACTCAGGTAACCGGAGGCCACCTACGTGTCACTTGGGCGGGTCCTGCCTGCGGACACTGCGCACAGCACGGGCCCCGGGGCGCACTGACCTGAGCGGGGGACTGGAGGGCCGGCGGCCCGGGCGGCTGCGGCAACTTCCCTCCCGAGGCTCGGTCAACTGGTTGGTAAAGGCGGCCGGGAGAGCGTCGCCTCCCGCAGGCCGGCTCGCGTGCACACACACCCACAGCCGACACGGGCGGGCGCGCGCTCACACTCGCACACGCGCGCGCGCACAGCCACA